ATCATACCCTTAAAAATGATCTCAACATTCACAAAATCAAAACATGTCATCATAATCATCATATCATCATTTTCTTAATATAATCACATATATAACTTCAATTTCACAACATCATCACCTGATATAATCCATCATTATTAAAGTTAAGTGTTCAAGATCACAAAGTCTTACCAAATAGCCTCGATGGTCTTCATCAAGAATCTAACAATCAATGAATCACAATTAAAAAAAATAAAACATTCATCATCTTCATACTTAGTGATTTGATGCCTCGGTTCCTCCATACTTAGTGATTTCTTAAAGTCGTGTAATAGAGCTACTTTCTTCTACAATCAAAGGTTTGCCAAGACAATATGTCGATTAGTTTACGCACCGTCTATCCTTCAATAGCTCCACACTTTCTCAAAATTTCCCGATTTAATTTCAGAATTTTGAACCTCTAGTCGAAGATCACTACCTATGGACCATCGATGGGTTGATGGGCCGTCGATGGCTCCATAAGTCTTCACATCTGCACATATTTTAGCATATTTTTTTTTGTTTCTAATTGGACAGCTTTCCTACAAACACAGACAAAAATACATTAGAATTACTACAAAAAGGCCTTAGACAGACACTAAAATTAATGAAAAAGCATTTAAAGTACCGTGAAACCATGGTACGTCAACACTCTCAACTTAAATTTGTTGTTTGTCCTCAAACGACGTAGTATGACTAACCACAACACCTTTTTACAAAAGTATCCTTTTTTAAGCTTTTGCAATATTCTGTCTATCAATCCCTTTTATTTTCATTGACATTACGCATGACATAACTCTTAGGCTCACTACGCTCATTTATGTTGATCGGACCATGACACAGACTCACACCGCACCGTCACCTCCCTATTTTATCTCTCTCCAAGGTACCAACTTTACAATATTGGAACTAGTCTCTTCACTTTAAAAACAATATTCTCCTTTTTCACAAAGTGATTTGGAATTTGACTATAAGTATTATTATTCAACACTCACTCTCAGAACAACTTCATACCTAATTGATATTTGTCGCCATGGGCTTTTCCTTATTTTAAGTACTTTAAGTGTACAATATTAGACTCTCATGATCACGATAGGGATTTCATGCCTTTTAACATAGACTCAGGGTTAGGTATGACACATATGGATACATTTTAGTGACTTGTTGCCCTCCATGACATTACGGGTAAGTGTACTACCTCTTTTATCGTCTTTTATTCCCTACTCTTAATCTTCTTATATTCTTTGCGTTAGTTTTCTCATTTCTTTATTATTTTGTGCAAATGACTCTTCTTTGATGTTTAAGTTTTTTTATAAGAAATCTTTTCAATCCTAATTTTCGGAACATTACTCATTATAGCCACCCTGAACTCATGGATTTGCCATTAGTCGAGGTACACAATACCCAAGGTTGGTTCAGTCACAAGACGAGATTGGTTTCCGCGTTAGCCACCATTAACTTAGGTTTTTGGCCTAAGTAAAGGTGCAAATGTCCACCTTTAAAAAAGAAAGGACCATTGTAAGCTACAATAATTTGAATAAAAAAGGGATTCATTTCATTTGGTTTTCTTTAATATGGGCTAAAGATTGGATAATTGTAACAAGGTCCTATAATACATTCTTAATTGTCTAACACAGATTACTTTTTCCAGGACTAACCGGGTAATATCTATCTAGGTACCAACTGTAAGCTAATCAAATTTCCTCACACTCTCTTAACGCCTCATTGACCTACCAGATTTTCCGACACTTTAGTTTGAGTGTTAGATTGAGTGTCATTCAATGGTTTATCTCTATGTCATGCTTAGAGCCAACACATTAAACATTCACTATGCCTATTCATGCAAGCATTCTCTTTATAACGGGATGTCAATGCATTTAGCCATCATGCTTCAAATTTAACATTCATATTTTTACATGGTACTAACAGAGCCGGTTCAACAGTGAAATACTCAGTCTCTTAGGGAAAAAGAACGCATGCAAGAAAACCACAAAACAGGATCGTGATTTGGTTACTCATACTTCACCCTACCACTCACTTTCCATTAACCTTCAACCCAAAAAGAAAGCATGCAATTTTCCTTAATCCATAAAAATAATAAACCAAGGTGGTAGGTAAAGCAAACAAGAAGCGCAAAACGCCGATGATCAACAATATGGCGGGTATGGTTGCACGGAAACCTCTCCATGAGTAGTAGAAACACCATACGTAGTGTCGAAGTAATGTCAACACCGTTAGTGGTGATCCTCTCAAAAATCTCTAATCAGGACGGAGATGGACCCGCAGCCAACTCACGCGCCCTCATCTGCCAGGCCTCTTCATCTACAAATGAGGCTCTTCTCGCGGCCTCCAACTCAGGTGCTCCTTCTTTGTTTCCCTAACCTCCTCCTCTCTCTCTCTCTCTGGACCAGTGCCTCTTGGCATGCTCACATGGTAGAGGCGGTGGTACAGTGGAGGAAGTGACTAGTGAATGTAGCAACGGATTCTCAGCAAGCTCTGAAGATGTGGCCTCAAAATCCCTCCCCCGTACGTCCAGATTGACATACACATCAGCCCTTACACTAAACATAATAGCCTAGAGATTCATACAAACAATAGTAGCGATTGTCCAAGAGAGAACTGTAAAAACGAATGTATTAAGGCGCTGGTGGACAACCATAATCAACCTCTCAGTTTTCTCGGTAATATTCTTCTCAATTCGATCCGCCGCCTTAGGAATGGACCTCTGCATCTACGGTTGGATATAATGAAGTAGTGTGGCAATCTGGCCCTTTAGCTTTTATATCATAAAAATTGGGACCAGTGTTGCTTATTGTGTTTAACAGAAGGAACTCAAAACTCTGCTAATTCTCTATCGTGCCGCCAAGTTCTCACCTATCAGGTACACCACTACTCTAGGCCCTTTATTAAATTACTCCTCATAGACCTTTATCGCGAATGAGACCGATATAACCTGTCCCAATAAGAGTCTTGAGAACATGAATGTGCCAAATGGGCACTCCAACAGACTTGCACAACTCAAAAATCATACAGGGAAAAGGGTAAGTGGTCGAGTCCTGCAAAGTCCTCTCATGCATGACTTCTAGCAACAACCTTAGAAAATCCACCTCGAACCCCGCAACCATAGAAACTACCAATACTTCTGTATTCCATGTAAGAATGTTCTAAGAAGCAGTGGGGGATAGGGAATGACGTACCTATAGGCGGATGAACTTGGAAGAAAATGTGAGGTTGTCCTTCTTAATATGACCTCTAGGCTCTAATACCTAATATCCACCCTCACGATCCATGGAAATGTGTTGGGCAATCTATTGGTGTCTCTCACACTAGTATCACATTGAAACTAACCCTCCTTAATAAGCATCCACCGATAGTTAAACATGGGGTAAGGGACTCCCTTGTAGGATCTGAATAAGCATAGAATAGGAAATAACAAATAGTGGGTAAATATGTCCACACTGTACCCAAGGACCCGAACATGTGTAAGTGTGCCTGTTTAAAAGGATTAGACCACCTATCCAAAGAAGGCCTGAGATTTTGTATATATTAAGAGTACAACTCTCGCACCAACTCCTCACTATAGCGTCCCACGCTCCTAGCTATCCACTTAAGATGATGGTGGTAAAGTGGTCATGTATAGATGACATAATGTGAAAACTCCTTGTAAGAACTCACCGCTAAACAGTCAGAGTCTGCGTTATGACCCCCATATCGTTGAGCAGTTTCACATCCGTGTACTCCTTGTATTGGCTTACTATGCACCACCAGTTTGACTAATCAGAAACTGGTGCAGGAACGTCAAACAGGGGAGCTGGAGTAGAATCCACATATTACTCCTTATAAGATGAGGAAAAATGGACATGTAAAGTAGGAGCAGTGCCACCATGCGTTCCTGACGCTCCCTCAGACCCGGAAGCCTCCTTAGAGCAAAATAATCGCTCAGAACCTGAGGCAGACCCAGATGGTGTGGCAGTTAGTGTGTTCTCCTTTTAATACAGGGAGACAGTCAGTACGCCGGACGCCAATGGTCCTAGGTAAGGTGTCTGTGTCTGGGTGCCTCATAGCACATATTCAGGATCAATCTCATCATCCGAGCCAATCACCATCTGGGGTGAAGGGGAGATTGACTTGAAACGTCCTCGGGAGTAGTCAATATTGGGCTTGGGAGCCATTTGTAACTATATACTATCGTGGAGTAAATGCGAGGATGAATTTAGAAAGAACAACACCGTGCCCGCATTTGAACACCAAACTAAAATATTTGGGGAGAGAGGGTTTTGGGAATATGGTGATTGTGAGAGAATCATAAAATTAATGACGATTATTGGGTGAATTAGTGTGTGAGTGAGTGTACATGTAAGTGAATGTGGATATAAAAGTGGTTAAGGGGAATTTTTAATGTTTGGAAGTAACTAGAGATCTTGAAATCATTTTATAGTCTGTCGGGTCCTCGAATCTGGGGAAGTTACGATTCCCCGTCGATGGACTGTAAGTACATCGATGGTCTTTTGACTGCTCCATCTATTGTGCTAACTTAGACAATATTGAAAAACAAACTTGGAATCCACATACCCGATAGACAGTCCATAGACAGGACAACGGCCCGTCGATCATTGCACCAGACGAATTTCTGTAGATTTTTGTTGATTTGATCCCTACATATTTAGCACCCAATAATCCATTATATTTGTCTTTTCTTGACACTTTTTAGACACAGAAATTACTCCACTCTCTATCCAACACTTGTAAAAGAAAATAAAAGAAAATCCACACATGACATTAAGTAAAAATAATTATAGTGAAACTACTCGTATAAAGGCAAGAAAAACCTATTGTTGGCTAGAGGATACATTTTGGGTGGCCGCCCAATCAACGCTTGATTTTACATCTCGGCATGATGCAAGACACTTGATTACTCAGACTTCATCAAAATTGTATGCCTCAACCGCTTCATTTGCATTTTTTTCATGCCCAAGGTAGATTTAAATCTGTTGCCCATTTACTGTGAACCGTGCATCCTCCTTGTTCTCCAACTCAACCGCACCATGAGGGAACACTTTAGTGATCAAGAATGGACTAGTCCATTTGGACTTGAGTTTGACCGAAAACATGCGCAACCTAGAGTTGAACAAAAGCACCGAATCCCCAACCACAAAGTTGCGCTTCTCAATCCTTTGTTCATGGTACATCTTCAATTTTTCTTTGTAGAGGGCTGAACTTTCATACGCTTTCAAGAGAAACATATCAAGCTCATTCAACCCATTTAATCTCTGTTCTGCAGCTATATTCCAATCCATTTTATGTTTCCTCATTTCCCACATGGCCTTATGATGTAACTCAACCAGCACATGACAAGCCTTCCCATATTCAAGTTTTTATGGAGACGTACCTATGGCAGTCTTTTATGCAGTCCAATAGTCCCAAAGAGCATAAACAAGTCTCTTTGACCAATCCGTTCTACTAGCATTCAGCGTTTTAGCTAGAATCTACTTGATTTCATTGTTTGACACTTCAACTTGCACACTAATCTGAGGATGATAAGGAGTGTCTACATTGTCGCGAATCCTATATTTCTCCAATAACCCTTTGAACAGCTTGTTTGAGAACATGGTTCCCCCATCACTAATAATTGCCCTTGGGGTGACAAATCTGGAAAATAAGTTCTTTTTCAAGAACGCGGTGACACTCTTCCCTTAAATATTTTCAAGTGCTATGGCTTCCAATGATTTTTACACATAATCAACTGCCAAAAGAATGTACTTCATCCAATGAGAACTCAAAAAAGGGCCCATAAAGTCAATACCCCACATATTAAACTACTCATTTACAAGAATGGGATTTAAAGGGAGCTCTTGCCTTCTAGAAATACCTCCATCTTTTTTACACCTATCACATGCCTTGGAAAACTCATGAGCATCTTTGTGGATGGTTGGTCCATAGTATCCCCATTGCAAGATTTTATGGGCAATACAGTATGATGCGTACCCAACGTCGAGGAGTGACATGCCTCTAAACATTTAACATCTCAACTTCCGGCACACAACGACGAATAATACAATAAGCACAACTCCTATAAAGATGAACTTTTTTCTTTGCCGAAAGGACAAGTCCGATAGTACTATATCACAAGCCAAATAACATATTAAATTAGCGAACCAAGGAATCAATTCATGATAAGTGGCAAAAACATGCTCATCAGGGAAAGTATCCTCAATTTCAGCCTTTTCACCCCATTCTCACATAGCATAATCCTCTAATCGGGACAAGTAATCTGCAACTTGATTTTCAATCCTTTTTCTATCTTTCACTTAAAAGGAAAACACTTGCAACACTAATACCCACCTTATCAACTTTGGATTCGCATCATTCATTTCCATCAAATATGTCAAAGAAGATAAATTTTTCAAACGCAAAAACCATCGAAAAGATCTCTTCTTCAAATACAATATTATTCTTTTTAGCTTAATTAAGGGCCTTACAAGAATAATAAATGTGGTGAAGGATTTGATTCCTTCTTTGTACTAATACTACACAAATAACAACCCCACTAGCATCACACATCACCTCAAATGGTTTGGTCCAATCAAAGAAATAATGATGGGCGCAAACACCAACTTCTTCTTCAACTCTCCAAACGCCTTCACTCAAGATTCATCAAATAAAATTTACACTTTGTCTCAAGTAAATTTCAAAGAGGATGTGCATGTTTTGAAAAATCCTTGATGAACCTATGCTAGAATCGCGCATGGCCAAGAGAACTACTCACACCTTTTTACAGAGATGGGTGGAGGAAGTCTCTCTATCACCTCAACTTTAACTCGATCAACATCTATACCGTTCTATGAGATGAGATGGCCAAATACAACACCCTATTTAACCATGAAGTGACATTTTTCCAAATTTAGAACAAGGTTCAAATCTTCAAACCACTTGAGAACTTCAGCGAAGTGACTCAAATAATGATCAAACGAGTCACCAATAAGGGAAATATCATCGATAAACGCCTTAATGGAGTACTTTACCATATCGGATAATATAGACATCATACATCTCTGACAAGTAGCCGGTGCACTACACAACCAGAAAGGCATCCTCTTGAACACGAAAGATCCATAAAGACAAGTAAAGGTCGTTTTCTCATTATCTTCCGGTGCAATAGTGATTTGGTTGTACCCCGAATAACCATCAAGAAAAAAATACCACCCATTTCCTATAAGCATATCCAACATCTTGTCCATGAGCGTCATAGAAAAATTGTCCTTTTAATTCCATGTTTTCAATTTTCTGTAATCCATACACACATTCCATCCACTCATCGGCCTCATCAGAACAAGATCGTTTTTCTCATTAGAGACCACAATCATTCCCCCTTTCTTAGGCACACATTGAACAGGGCAAACCAAACTAGTTATAGTGATAGGATATATGACTTCAACATCCAACCACATAATAATCTCCTTCATAACAACCTCTTATATAGGTTGATTTAATTGTGTTTGATGCTCTATATTTGTTTTATGATACGACATTAGTTAGATTTTGTGTGAACAAATACCGGCTGGAATCCCAATAATGTTAGCAATAGTCCACCGAATGACTTGTTTAAACCACATGAACACCTCTATAAGACACTCCACTTGCTTCCCATTCTAATATGATGCAATGATTACCGGTAAAGTGTCACCTTTCCCATAGAATACATTGCTCAGTTTAAGGTGGTAGAGCCTTAAGATCAAATTTTGGTTCCTCCTCAATTGATGGTTTCGCAGGTGGAGATTTGTGATATTTCATATCTAATCCCACTTTTTTTTGTTTGAACTGAACATCACCTCTATAAAGTGACCCAACTAATGACCCATACTCTTTGATACAATCACTCTCAAAATGCATGATCACAGTCGCTTGTGCGTCAACACAAAGACACTCTTCTATTTGTATCTCGGAAAAACTTTTGACCTAGTAGCATATCTTCGTTAGATATTGGAGCTCACAACTGTTCCTCACGGACCTACAAATGTTAAAAATCTCTTCTTCATTGTTCAGCCAAAACTTCATCCGCCCTTTCTCCATATCAACTAAGGCACAACCGACAGGAACGAACGACTTCACAAGAATAATAGGCACCTCAAAGTCCTCCACAAAATCAAGAATCACAAAATCGGCCGGAAAAATAAAACACTCCACTTTCACTAGCTTATTGATATACCATGGTTTCACGGATAATTAATACTTTTTCCTTAAGTTTAGTGTGTCTGAATGCCCTTTTTGTGCTAATTTTGATAAAAGTTTCTCTTTGTCTTGCAGGAAATCTGTCCAAAGCTGAAGGCGGAGATTTTGAGTGAAAAATGCAGAAGAGACCGCCTACGGTGCTTATGATGGTCCGTAGGTGGCAGCGTAGAGAAGCTGCTGAAGGAAGATCAGAGAAGTGATCCCAGTACCCAGATTCCAAGAGTTGAAGTATTTTGAAATGAGACTTTCGACGGACCGTTGTGCCTACGACGGTCTGTCACACTTGCCGTCGAGGGGAATGAAGAAAGCAGCTAATGAATTGCACCAAGTATGGGACGACGGAGTTCACAAAGGTCCGTCATGACCACGAAGGATTGTCGCGTGGTCCGTCGACCCAGCCGCGTTTTGGCAGATTTCCAGTAATTAGAATCCTTGTTTAATTAGGTTTTTATTTTTTATAAATAGTTCGAAAAACCTCGTTTTTGAGGTTAGACTCTATGATATTAAACATTATATTGTTAGACTTTGTGTTTTGAGTGTTTGATTGTTAGACATTCTTACAAGTGATTTTTGGTGATTAATCAAGCAAATTTTCGGACTTTATTCTTTCACATTGAAGTAAGTACATGAATTCTTGTTTAACATATTTGAATATTGTGTTTATGTCTATGAGGAACTAAACTCCATAACTAGTGTTGTGGGAACCATAGGCAAATAATGAGATAAACCCTAGCTAAAATAACAATTCTAGAATCGTGTCTTGCATGTATTAATAATTCTTTCGCTTAGAAGTCTTTTTAACAGATGATCAACGTTAGAACTCGCCTTAGTGCTACTTGTCGGACCAAGTTGGTAGATAATAGGTAAAGAATTATTAACATATATTTAGTGTATACTATTTAATAGGCTAGTTTTGATTCGTAAGAGGTAATAACTTAGTCAAATATCAAATACGATGCTTAATATGAGGTAAGGATAAGGGTTAGGGAAGCAACACACATAGCCGGACCAAGGTGCGGAGTGAGATTTTCTAGATGCCGGACCAAGGATTTAGTAATACATAACTTATCACTTTGCATGCAAGATACTAGGAAAGAATTGTTCTAGTTAGAATTATCAAGTTATGAACCTGTGGGGAACACGTAAACCTAGTTACTTTGATTACTTGATTAAAACTCAACATTAAAAGCTGTTTAGTGTCTCTTTCAAGTTTGTTAGTTATTTTTGCTCATTAGGAAATACAAACCCCCCTTTTATGCTTTTACTTTCTAAGGAAGTCATCAACCGAACAATAGTAATAACAAGTTGAAGTTAAGTCTAGACTATTTTCCTCGTGGGAACGATCCCAACCTCATTAGTTTGGTTATTTACTTGACGCGACCGCTTTTCTTCTCATTTGGGAAGTAAGTTTGAGCGTATCAAATTTTGGCGCCGCTGCCGGGGAATTTAGCTTTTAGATTAACTTGAACTTCTTACTATAGTTTAGTTGATATTTTCTTGATTTTACTTTCTTTTATTGTTTTTAATTTGTTTTCAGCACTATCCTCCATGTATGCCAAATACACGGAGAGGAAGAGAACCGTTGTTTCTTTACGATCACGAGCTAGAGTGTACACTACGAAAGATGAATCGTACTTTGGGAATCGATGATGACGATCAAAACCAGAACATCCCAGCTCCGGCTGATGTTCATGGTCAGATGTTACCCGATGCTCCGGGTGAACATCAACAGAGGGGACAGAATCCCACTCCACGGCCCCAAGCATACTACACAGGCTATGATAACATAGCAGATTCGGATGGGCCACTGGTTTTGCCTCCTCTACCCACAGGCCACACTTTTGTGGTAACTAGTAGTCTGATGCAAATGCTCACTGCCAGAGGTTTTTTTTCAGGGCTACCTTCTGAGGATCCACATGCCCATATAGCTAAGGTAAGGGCACTGTGTAAAAGTTGTGTGGGGAGGCCTAATTTGGATCTAGATGTAATAGGTCTCAGAGTGTTTCCTCTCTCACTGATGGGAGAGGCTGCTATGTGGTTTACTGAGCTCCCATAAAACTCCATCTTC